ATATCCACTTCTTTGTCTGGGTCATTCACAAGCGTAGAAAAAGACCCATCATAGATTAGATCCGAGGAATCCCTACTGTTTATGATTTTCCATGTGGGAATGTATCCACTTAGCTTTAGCTTTGTTTATGCTCTTTAAGCCAATTCCATATTCATGATAAAACAACCCTTAGTGACTCAATTTTTTGTTAGAGTGGGATTTTCTCACAGGTTTTTGAAAGTCAAATTAAACTGGGTTCTGTGGTTCCCTCTTATCCATATGCTTATTTATCTGCTAAAGAACTCAAGGAGATTAGTGAGGCGTGATTTCTCCTTCCTGACACCACGCCGCCTTCTCTCTAATAAGCCATGTTTACTTAAGTGTTCAGCGATGGGGCTTTATTATATATTCACTCAGTAAACATTAAATGCTTACGCCATGCAAGCTTCTAGCAAGCGGTCCCTTGTGATACAGAAATACTTTGGCAGATTGGTTTGATGCATTAAGTGAAGAGGAACTTAAATAATGCTTGATTCATTTTCTAACAGAAAGAGCCATTCTCTGCTCACAAATCCAGGCTTGAACGATGGGCACCACAGGACAGCCCAGTGGAGGAGGCCCTGCCCTGGGTTTAGCTCCGAGGCTCAGGGGAGCAGGCACATCCCAGGAGGAACATTGACTGGTGGTGGGGGATGCCCCAGGGAACTCCCTGACATATAGCAACTCCGAGTAAATATTTGAACTCCAAAATCGCTGAATGAAGCATTCTTTCCCCAACTACAGAACACTGGGCTGAACAACGATGCTCAGACTTGGGGTGGCCCTTTCCCATTCCCATTTTCCGAGGCGCAGGAGCCTGGGTAGGAACTCTGCTCCATCTTGCCTGGTTCCTCGCAGGCACGCCCTCCTTGGGCCTCCACGAATGCCCCCAGGTCTTCCCCAAGATTGTTCCGCATTGGTGCAGTCACAGCTTACCCTGGAATGCATGTCTATCTTCCTTAACGTTCTACAAAATTCTATTGTCCCACCATGTCAGCACTTGGACTGTTTTTATTCTGTGATACTGGGGATTGAACCCAGGGTCTTTACTTGAGCTATATGAGCAGCCCTTTTTCTGTTTTCTATTTTTGAGAGAGGGCTTCCCTAAATTGCTAGGCTGCCTGGAGGCTGGGCTCAAACTTCTGATCTTCCTGCTTCAGGCTTAGAGAAAGCTGGGTCTCTGGATATTTTTTCTTAGATGTTCAAATTGTCTCCCTCTTTGCTATGAGATACTCAATAAAGTCCTAAGGGTGACTTTTTTTTTTTTTATTTTAGGGAGGGGTCTACAGGGTGTTGGGGCCTTACTACTAGATTGGATTTATGGTGATCTGCCTGTTTACAGCCATCCGAGAGCTGGGATTACAGGCGCGCCCCACCGGAACCAGGGATTGAACTCAGGCCTTTGTGCTTGCCAGGCAAGCACTTCTGCTGAGCTGTCTCCCCAGCCCCACCACACCCAATCTCAACTGCCATCTCAGCATGCCCTGGGAGTAGGGCCAGAACAGCAGGCCCCAGGGATCAAAACCCCA